TGTGCTGGTCCTAGGGCTTGAACTCCATGCCTGGATACTATCTGTTAGCTTTTTTGCTCAAGGCTAGCACTCTACCACTTGAGACACAGATCCACACTTAAATGCCTTTCTCCCCATACCCATACCAAAAGCAGGTATTAAAAAAAATCTAAATGATGCATGGACTTAATTTTCGAAGGTTCCCTGGGATTGCCACTTCCCAGGAAGCAAGCTGCATGGTCCCTCTCAGCAATCACAGAGTAAGTTACTTAGGATTCAGGGCTCCTGGATGGCATCTTGGCCTCACAGGTGGAAATCAGGTGCCAAAAATATACTGTTGCAGAACATCTTACCTCTGCCCCTCCCTATCCCCCTCTAGTTTTGGAACTTTCCAAGGATCCTAGAAATGAGGTCTTATAGAAGAGACTTGATAGGAATTAACAACCAATTAGAATGGACTTGACCAATAAAGTGTTACTCTCCAAAACACCTAATTATAAACAGAGCCATGCCTGTTGTTGTTGGAAACGTGTGGTTATAGAAAGAAGAATTCCTAGAGTCAGCCACACAGAGAGAGAATAATGGAGATGGAGATGGAGAGACATACAAGCAACCACATAAAAGAAGGGAGCATGAACAAAATTGGCATGATGGTGACAGCCTTCTGGCCAGATGATTCTCTTCTGAATGAAGTTATTTGCACTCATCTTCCATTGTCCTGGACTTCATTTGTTAGATTTCGGAGACAAAAACCCAAGGAGGCTCAGAAGTACTGGCAGTAAAACCAAAACACTGGCAGGAATTGTCTGCTGCTGAGCTGCAGTATGAACTTTCCTGCCACAGCTCTACCTTCAGCTGTTTTAGGTGGCTAATTGGAGATACAAGTCTCATAGACTTTCCTGCTTGGGCTGGCTTCAAACCTCAATCCTCAGATCTCAGCCTCATGAGTAGCTACGATTATAACTGTGAGCCACTGGTGCCAGGCTAATTTTGAACTTAGCCCCTGATAGGGAAGTCCATGAGACTCATCTCCAATAAACTACTCCCCCAAAAAGCCAGAAGTGGAACTCTGGTTCAAGTGGTAGAGTACTAGCGTAGAGCAATAGAAAGTCAGTTATAACACCCAGACCTTAAGTAGAAGCCCTGGCCCGGACTAGGACTTTAGGACTGGCAGCCATTACTTTCTACATAAACTGCTCCAACTGTAAATAAAGTAATATAGTTAGCTATTGTTTATTTATTTTTTGTTGGTTGTGGGGCTTGAACTCTGGGCCTGGGCACTTTCCCTCAGCTCTTCAGCTAAGGCTAGTGCTCTACCACTTGAGCCACAGCACCACTTCCGGTTTTCTGGTGGTTCATTGAAGATAAGAGTCTCACAGACTGTTCCTGCCCAGGCTGGCTTTGAACTGTGATCCTCAGATCTCAGCCTCCTGAGTAGCTAGGATGACAGGTGTGAGCCACCGGCGCCCGGCCATAGTTAGCTTTTTAGTTGAACTCATTGCAACCATGTCAGACAGAAGCTTTATCTCTTCAAGGTCCATTGGCGCTCTGAGGCTGCTAAGGTCCCACAGAAAAAGGCTATGAGAGCCTTGACCACATTTCATAGAAATCATGCTCCTTGGAAATGTGTGGTGTCAGTAGTACACAGCCATACTAGCAGGCCAGGCCTGTTCTTGTTTGAAACGTGTGGTTGTAGAAATACCTGATTTCACAAGATATGTCTTCATTGTCCTGGACTTTAGGTTCTCTTAAATTTGGCAGCATGGCAAGAAGAGTCGGCAGCATAACTGGGATCTGAGATATCAATGAATCAAAACACACTACTGTTCCAGGACACTTAGTGGAAGGGAAAGAATTCATGGAGGTATAGAAACTTCTACTACCTTCATCCCTGAACCAGTGTGAAGCCCATTGGCATCTCTGGGGCAGCCAGCCTAGGGTGGCTGGCTTTGTATTTTTCTGGTCCTGGGACTTGAACTCATGGCCTGGAAACTATCCCTTCGTATTTTTTCTCAAGGCTAATGCTCTACCACTTGAGCCACAGTGCCACTTCTGGCTTTTCTCTAGTAGTTCATTGGCAATAAGTCTCATGGACTTTCTTGCCTGGGCTGGCTTCAAACCTCGATCCTCAGATCCCAGCCTCTTGAATAGCTAGGATTACAGGCTTGAGCCACCGGCACCCGGCTGTCTGATTCTTGAATTACACTGAGTAGGCATATAACTCCCATAGTGCAACAAAATATGTTTTTATTATATTTCATGGAGTCTTTTTTTTTTTTTTTTTGCCAATGCCTGAGGCTTAAACTCAGGGCCGGGGCACTGTCCCTGAGCTTCTTTTGCTCCTGACTAGTAGTCTGCCACTTGAGCCACTTCTGGCTTTTTCTGTGTATGTGGTGCTGAGGAATTGAACCCAGGGCTTCATGCATGCTAGGCGAGCACTCTACCACTGAGCACATTCCCAACCCTGGAGTTTGTTTTATGCTCAATATATCTTGTTAGCGAACCCACTCTCCTCATATAGTAAATACTAAATAATTTACTTCCAACTAGGGTTATAGTTTTCCCTTTAAAGGAACAATTCAAGTTGAATCTGCAGGTTACTTAAGCATCTTGATGAATCCCTATCTGTATGTACAGATCTATTGCTTGGCCGGTCCTGGAGCTTGAACTCAGGTCATGGGTCCTGTCCCTGAGCTTTTTTGCTCAAGGCTAGTGCTCTACCACTTAAGTCACAGCTACACTTTTGCCTTCTTTTTCAAATTGGAGATAAGAGTCTACTGCCCAGGGCTGGCTTTGAACCGGATACTTATGATTACAGATGTGAGCCACCAGTGCCCAGCCTATATCTGTTTTTTTTTTTTTTTGCCAGTCATGGGGCCTGAACTCTGGGCCTGGGCGCTGTCCCTCAGCTCTTCAGCTCAAGGCTAGCACTCTACCACTTGAGCCACAGGGCCACTTCCTGCTTTTTCTGCTTATATGGTGCTGAAGAATCAAACCCAGGGCCTCATGCATGCAAGGCAAGCACTCTACCACTAGGCCATCTTCCCAGCCCTATTTCTGTATTCTTATGATCTGTACAAAACCTTATTTTATCTTTTCATTTCCATGAGCAATGCACCATCAAGTTGGTTTATAATACAGCAAGAGATACTGGCAACAACTTGAAAGACATTGCTGGCCAATTGCATCATGTAAACTGATAGTACTAACCTTGGCATACTTCTATTGGCATTTTAGTGCTTTTTCTTTCTCTGACCTCTTTGCTTTTTTTTTTTTTTTCAGTTCATATGAGCCATGCACTACCAAGTCCTCCTCTGCTTGCATTTAGGATTTTTAGTTGCTTAAAAAACATTTAATGCATTTCTTTTCCACTAGCAAACTTATGAGACAAAATTATTTTCCCTTCATTTGAGCTACTTCAGAAGTTGCCAGTCATCTTGGAAGCCCACCTGCAAGTGGAAATCTTTTGTTTTTGGTCAGTTGTGAGGTTTGAACTCTAGGCCTGGGTGCTGTCCCTGAGCTCTTAAGCTCAAGGCTAGTGTTCTACCACCTGAGCCATAGCACCGCTTCTGGCTTTTTCTGTTTATGTGGTACTGAGGAACCAAACCCAGGACATCATGCATGCTACGCAAGCATTCTATCATTAAGCCACATTCCCAGCCCATGCAAGTAGAAATTTTTTTTTTTTTGGTCCGGTCCTGGGGCCTGAACTCTGGGTTTGGGCTCTGTCCCTCAGCTCTTCAGCTCAAGGCTAGTGCTCATGAGCCACAGCATCACTTCCGGCTTTTTTCTTTTTGCTTATGTGGTGCTGAGGAATGGAACCCAGGGCCTCAGGCATGCAAGGCAAGTGCTCTACCACTGAGCCACCTTCCCAGCCCAAGTGGAAATTTTTTGATGATGGCAGTCAGTGGATTCATAGAACATGAGGCTATTGCAATACTGGCTGGGAGAGGCAGTCTAGCACAGACATTCACATTGCATATCTCCAATGACTAACGAGAGAGTAAAGCTTACATCAAGTCCCAACTCTCATTGAGTACCTTTGCCAAAGGGCCCAAGAATATAAATATATACATTTTTCTTATAAAGCAATGTCTTGGTTTTATTCCCCTTTATGAATTAAAGTCTCTATGAAAAATATGAAAGGGTCAGGAAGTAAAAGTTGAGGAAGTTATCTAACAGTGCTTGCTCTTAAAATTATATTCTCTGAACAACAGGAGCCTATTGGTATAGAAGAATACAAGGATTAATCACTAAGTTCCAGAATTTGTACTTAAGAGGAATATAATTCTAAAGAGAATAATAATGTAGTTAAGACAAAGTTATAACATTCATATGTAATGAGCATTACAATGGGAACAAAAGACTAAGATAAACAGAATACTGAAGACTATTAATACAAAAAAGGTTAACAGAAGGTTCCACTCTACAAAAACCTTGCTGTAAAATCTGTGGTATAGTTTGTTTTTGTTTTTAAATGAGAGCCAGGTGCATATGGCTCTTGTGTGTAGTTCTAGTTACAAAGGAGACTGAGACCTTGAGGATTCAAGGTTAGAAACCAGCCTGAGCATAAAAGTCTAAGAGACTTCATTTCCAATTAACTAGGAAAATGCTGGGCTGGAAGTGTGGCTCAAGCGGTAGCACACCTGTCCAAGTAAGAAGGTAGAGAAAGAGATAGAGAGGAAGTGAGAGAGGAGGGGGAAAAAGGAGGAGGAGGAGGAGGAAGAGGAGGAGGAGGGGAGGGGGGAAGGACGGAGGGAAAGGGTACAAGAGTGAGCAAGGCCCTGAGTTTAGCCCCATATCAGCACTAAAAGAAAAAGACAAAAAAGGCCTATGGAAAAATCAATTTTTAAAAAAGCAAATATTTTTACACAGTATTTATTTTTCTATTTTTAAAAAAATGTCAGTGCTGGATTAAATCCAGGGCCTCGTGCATACTAGGCAAGCACTGGAATACTGAGCTAGAGCCCCAGCCCTGCAGTGTTTCTTAACTGGGTGATGTTTGTAGTATTAGAATTAGCTTAATATTTTACCTTTTGGTCTTTAGATAGAATTTTAGAAAACACCTAGCAAGAAAATAGTTCTGAAAGTGCTTCCGCTTCAGTTCTTTGGTACAATTTGGTCACTCTGATAGTAATTAATCCATTAGGTAAGTACTTAAAACATTCATGTATAACAGAAGTGCAAAGATGCTACACATATTTAGAAAAGCATGACTGAAGAATAAATTATATTTTTGACTTCATCAAAACAAAATTCTAAAATTTTACTTGAAGCTCTGGTGCAAAGATGTCTATATTAGCTATAAGAACAACTATAATTCAATTTATCTGAACAAATGTTACAACCCTTTTCTTGACTATTAGAATAATTGTTGTATATATACTTTTAATGAAAGCAGAAGAGGTAAATTTTAGCTTGAAAAAAAAGAATAATTTTGAATCATATACAGTTATACTCTTGTGTCTTTTGATTCGGTGAATGCCAACATTTAGAATTTAATGTAAGTTTGCACAATGTTTAAGACTCTTTTATTTCCAGAGCTATCTAATTTTCCTCTTCGAGCATCTTCTCAATTTCTTTATCCCAGCTTTCATCCCGCTTCTCAGACTCTGCCACCACTTCATACTCCTGAAGTTCTTGTTGTAGCTCCTTTTCCCAATCAGCAGAATCTTCTACAAGAAACAAAGGGGAAGGAAAACAAAGATTCTCTCTGAATTCTTTTTTTTTTTTTGGGTCCAGTCGCGGGGCCTGAACTCAGGGCCTGGGCGCTGTCCCTCAGCTCTTCAGCTCAAGGCTAGCGCTCTACCACTTGAGCCACAGCACCACTTCTGGCTTTTTTCTTTTTGCTTATGTGGTGCTGAGGAATCAAACCCAGGGCCTCAAGCATGCAAGGCAAGCGCTCTACCACTGAACCACCTTCCCAGCCCTCTCTCTGAATTCTTTTTTTTTTTTTTTAATTTTATTTTATTGTAAAGCTACTATACAGAGGGTTACAGTTACATGTCTCTCTGAATTCTTAAAGCTGGTGATACCAATTCAGTCAACTTTACCAACAAAAGTCCTCATCATAGTAGTTCCTTCTTTCGTTTTTTTTTCCTGTGCTGGAGGTGGAACCCAGGGCTTCCCACAAGCCACAACCCTAGTTCAATGTCTCAGGCATCTTCAGTGTAAGTGCTTAGGAAAATACTTTTCTTTTGCCAGTCCTGGGACTTGAACTCAGGGCCTGGGCACCATCTCTTAACTTTTTTTGCTCAAGGCTGGCACTCTACCACTTGAGCCAGTTTCATTTCTATACTTCTCTGGTTAATTGGAGATAAGAGTCTCATGGACTTCCCTGCCTGAGTTGGCTTTAACCTGGATCTTCAGATCTCAGCCTCCTGAGTAGCTAAAAGTATGACCCACAGGGGCCTGGCTTGGAATGAACTTTTTTTTTTTTGGTCTGGTTGTGGGGCCTGAACTCTGGGCCTGGGCGCTGTCCCTCAGCTCTTCAGCTCAAGGCTAGCGCTCTACCACTTGAGCCACAGCGCCACTTCCGGCTTTTTTCTTTTTGCTTATGTGGTGCTGAGGAATCGAACCCAGGGCCTCAGGCATGCAAGGCAAGCGCTCTACCACTGAGCCACCTTCCCAGCCCTTGGAATGAACTTTTAACAGAGACCAAGGAACAATGTAATTAGAAAGATAAACTTGTTAATGTAGAACCAAAGCTATCAGATAATTGTACATTTTGTTTACCTAAGCTGTTGTTTTTCCTTTTATTTAAATGAGTAATTCATAATATTTGGTTGCAAATTAATTTTTACCACTATGAATGAGGATAATGGTAGCAAAAGCAGTTAACACTTATTTAGGACCTATAGAACTGGGCTCACTCTTTTCTCTTTCTCTCTCTCATGTACACATACACACATACAAAGCACTGTCATACACACACATACCCTTTTAAGTAGCTATAGTTGAAATGAGAATAAAATAAAAGCGTTTTAGTTTTCCTGAAGCAGTGACCAAGGAAAAGACCTTGCATACTGTATGGGAAAGCACCAATCTCACAAGTAATTCATTAAGTGCTTGCTGAGTTCTAAGCTGCATGTGAAGGGACAGAGGCAAGATGGAACTGTCATTAAGTAGCCTACAACTTCTGGTTGAGCCAATATGCAGAATATGATGTAATCCAAATCATCACTCAGGTTGGAATTCAGAGAAAATTCAGTTCCCCTGGAGCAGTAAAGCCTTAGGAATCCTGCTGGCCCCTGTGGCTTCTGCTAGGGGTACAATCACCAGAAAAAAGAGAGACAGCTGCCAGAAATGTATGGGCTTAAGAGCTCCTTGCTTTTGTGATGATCAGAGGCTATGTCTTATCAGAAACCAGTCGGGGTTGGCACTGGGGAGACCGAGACAAGAGGATCAAAAGCTCAAGGCCAGTCTGGGTTACACAGTAAGACTCTATCTCCAGACAGGCTCTGCGGGCCTACACAATACAGGTTTTCACTGACCCGGCTAGTCCCTCACTCCTCCTCCCTTTTCTTCTCAAATCTGTCCTTCAGACTTCTTCCTGGCTGCGGCAGCATGTAGACAGTGTTCAGGTTCCTCTTTCCAGGCTCCTGTTCTAGCTGGCACTCTACACAACTGTGAGGACAGTTGGCCTTCTGGATGCATTTTAAGTCTGAGATGGCATCAGAAAACTCTTCATTTGATAGTGATGGACTCGATCCTTTTGTGTTTCATGCAGTAGGAAGCCAGTAACTTGGCCCAATGGGCCGAAGGAATACAAGAAGTCCCCTCAAGAAATATTGCACATTTCTGCCTAGGATGGCTTTGAACTGCCATCCTCACATCTCAGCCTCCTGAGCAGCTAGAATTTCAGGTGTGAGCCAACAGTGCCTAGCTACAATTAGTTTTTAAAAGGCAGGCTGTTCCTTTCTGGAAATGATGCTCTTTGTGTGCATATTTTCTAGTGGTACTGGGGGTTTGAACTCAAGGCCTTGTGCTTGCTAGGCTGGTACAATGCAGCTGAGATATGCCTCCAGCCCTGTTTTTCACTAGTTACTTTTAGGATTCTCCCAGGCATTTGCTTAAGCTGTAATCTGTCCACCTTTAGGCTCTTCATCCTTGCTGGGATCACAAGTGTGTGCCACTGTGTCCAGTTTCCTGTCCATGGAGATGGAGTCTCACAGACTTTTCTTGTTCAGGCTAGCCTCAAACCCTGATCCTCCAGTTCTCAGCCTCTCACGTAGCTAGAATTACAGTATGAGTCACCAACATCCCTGGCTCAAAGTTTGCAACATATTTTTGACCAATTGCCGTTAACACTTTCACACAATCAACTTTGAAATTTGGGAAAAGGTTAAAGTTTCATTAAAAAAAATTGTTTACCGTCTAGTACAGCTGTCTCCTCTTCCTTTTTGTCAAGTACAAGCTGCTCCATTTCTTTTCTTAAATCTTCCTGATTTAGGTTGCAAGCACCAAAGGCATCACTGACAAATTCTGAAACCCCAGGGCTAGTAGAAATTTCCTCCTCATCCTGAAATGGGACGAGAGCTCTTGTTGGTGTTCTCTATGTGACATGCATGCTTATGGTTGTCTCAGAATTTACTACAACCTAAGTTTTGCTGGCTGTAATACTAACTTGTAGTTGCTTGGTAACTTAATGAGTTACCACCTGAGGCTATTACTCTCCTTCCTAGCTGAGATCACTCTGACCATTTGCTAAAATCCCTAATGAGCACACTGAGAATTATGTATGGCAGTAAATCACCTTGTGTGTCAGCTATAGGTCGTTGACTCTTCTGTACTGGAGTCATCATCTTCCAAACAGATCAACCCATCCTCTTCAGTTTTAAATGGCATCAGAGATAGTTAACCCAGTTACTACATTTCCAGACATTAACTACTAGGTACAATGCAAAACTGTATTACCTCTTGAGATTTAAGCTGAGATTTGATTACGACAGGTGGCGTTTTGGGCCGTACTGCCTCTAAGAAGTGAGAATAAAAGAGACAATAATTGCTTGATTCAGTTCTGAGTATATATTACAATAACAGCTAAAATATCTATAAGTAAAATGATTCTAAATCATTTTCAGAAATAAGCTTTAAGATTGGCTTTTTTTTTCCTTATTTTTTTTGTGCTAGTCCTGGGACTTGAACTCAGGGCTTGGGCACTGTCCCTGAGCTTCTTTTGCTCAAGGCTAGTACTCTACCCCTTGACCCCTTGACAGCACCACGTCTGGCCTTTTCTGTTTATATGGTAATGAGGAACTGAACCCAGGGCTTCATGCATGCTAGGCAAGCACTCTACCACTAAGCCACATTTCTAGCCCCTTCTTATGTATTTTATGAAGAAAACAGTCAGGTGCAACCATCTTGACCTTTTACTTTGAGGGATATTTTTAATATGTTACCATATTCAATGTACCTTCTCTATAAAATTTCCAGCAGGAAGTGATTTGGACTTCAATGTTGGCAAAATTTATTGTGCTCTTTCTTTTAGAATAAAGGGAATAACATTATTTACCAAGTTCTCTGCTACTAGAAAGCAGAAATGAACATGTAACACTCAAGCCTGGTATTCTTTCTCTCAGCTGTGTTTTCTCTAGTTGACTTTAAAGGCAGTAAATGCTTGAATGCTGTCTCATCTCCATTTGCTACACAAGCAGTATTTGATAAAATGGCGTTCAGGAATAAAAGTAATACTAAGGAATGAGAAGGAATGATAGACCATTGGATGGATGTTAACATCTATGCAAAATGACCAATTTTACTGAATGAATTTCTTTTTTTTTGGGGGGGGGGGTCCAGTCGTGGGGCCTGAACTCTGGGCCTGGGTGCTGTCCCTCAGCTCTTCAGCTCAAGGCCAGCGCTCTACCACTTGAGCCACAGTGCCACTTCTGGCTTTTTTCTTTTTTTTTGCTTATGTGGTGCTGAGGAATTGAACCCAGGGCCTCAGGCATGCAAGGCAAGCGCTCTACCTCTGAGCCACCTTCCCAGCCTCTTATTGAATGAATTTCATTTATTTACCTGCCTCTAAATGCAATTTCAGAGGCTTTCCTAGTTATACAACCTGTACTTTTGGACATCCTGTCTTGCTTAATTCCACAAACAAAATTACCCTACTTCTTATGGGATTAGAGTCTGGTGGTGAATTACCTATGTGCAGTAGGTACTCATGAAAATATTAAATTATACAAACACCATTTCTCATTTGTTGGCAAATGGTTGTTGATACTATTGCATCTCATTATAGATGGCAAACGGTTGATGATATTATCAAACACTTTGCCTTACAACCAGGATTCGTATGTCACAAGAATAAAGTGTCAGATGTCTAAATTGACAGTGCCAAGCTCAGAGCTGGTGACTCAGAGTGGACTGGAGCTCTGTTCTATAGATCACACATTCTGAAGAAGCCAGGATGTAAGAAAGTCTAAGACACACAGAGGAGGAGGAGACTAAATCAGAGTGGCAGACAGAAGCTAGAAAAAGTCACATGGTAATGGCAAAAAGAGATGTAGACATTGGAGGGAGAAATAAAAGGAACGAGAAAAGAGAGAGAGAAGAAAAAAAGAAAACACATAAGCTGTGTCAGAGAGACAGCAACAGAGAAGAATGACCACTTCCTTTGAAAAGAAGTTTTCGACATGGCGATGTCAACATATTTGGTACACATACAAGACACTAAGTCACCTAAGAATATTTTTTACAGTAATTATTTTTTTGGCCACAGTGATCGTTTCCTCTGGAGTTTACCTGTCAGGGGCAAACCATCCTCACTGCCATTGCCTTTCTCTTCCTTTCCAGAGGCCTGCTGCTGGGCAGCCAGGGCGGTCAACTGTGCTGACTGCTTAATCAAGGAGACACGGTAAAAGTAGTTTCTCCAAAACACTTCTTCCTTCACCCTTTGAAAGACACATAGGGGCACATGTGAGAATGCTGTACAGCAGAGACTGGAATCAATCGTCTCCCTCTCCCTCTCCTTCTCCCCCTCCCTCTCCTCTCCTCTCTTTCCTCCTACCTTTCTTCTTCCTTTCTTCCCTCCCTCCCTTCCTTCTGCCAGTCCTTCAACTCTGGGCCTGGGCACTGTCTCTGAGCTCTATTTGCTCAAAGCTAGTACTCTACCACTTGAGCCCCAGCTTCACTTCTGGCTTTTTGTGGTTAATTGGAGATAAGTCTCTTGGACTTTCCTGCCCTCAGATCTCAGCCTCCTGAATAGCTAGGATTACAGGCATGAGCTCTTTGTTTCTTTAGTACAACGGATGGAATTCAGAGCTTCACACTTGCACAACACAGGCACTTTACCACAAGAGCTACACCCCTGGCCCCTGGAATGCAAGACATTCAGGAGCACTATGCAATCCCAGTGAGGTTCAAAGGACATTTGCATTTGCTTTACAAGGGAAAGTTGAACAACAGGATAAACACAACAGGGACAGCAACAAAAAGCAAGTTACCGAAAGGCACTGGGACCTCAGCATTTCTAGGTACAAATGACATCAACAGAGCCATTGGCAGAAAGAAAAGGCATGGTGGTAGTAAGGCAGTGTGACTAACCTAGAGCTAGAGGCAGAGCCAGGACTCCAAAGGTATCTCCTGATTCCTGGGCTATTACGTGCTTTTCAGCACTAAGAAAGCACTGTGGGTGTTGTTCTTTATGAAACAAAATGGTTGGTGGCGTACTAAAAACTAGCAACTAGTAAGAGCAATGAGTTGTGAAATGGTTTATAGGAGGTTTTGTGTGTGTGTGTGATGCTGGGAATGGTACTTAGAACATCACACATGTGAGGCAAGGCCTTTGATTGATTAAAAAACAAAAACAAACATAACCCTGGCCAGGCACTGGCGGCTCACACCTGTAACCCTAGCTACACAGGAGACAAATCTTGAGATCTGAGGATCACAGAAGCCAGCCTGTGCAGGAAAGTCCATAAGACTCTTACCTCCAGATAACCACCAAAAATTTGGAAGGACGCTTGGCCTGATGCTTGTGGCTTATGCCTGTGATCCTAGCTACTCAGGAGGCTGAAATCTGAGGATTGTAGTTCAAAGCCAGCCTGGGCATGAAAGTTTTTGAGATTCTTATTTCCAATTAACCACAAAAAAGCTGGAAGTGGAGCTGTGGCTAAAATTGGTAGAGTACTAGTCTTGAGCACAAAAGCTCTAAGACAGCATTCAGGCCCTGAGTTCAAGCCCAGGACAGGTACCAAAAAAAAAAAAAAAAAAAAGCCAGAAGTGTGACTGAAGTCTAGAGTGCTAGCCTTGAGCACAAAAGCTCAGGGGACATGCCCAGGCTCTGAGTTCAAACCACAGGACAATCATAAAAACAAAACAAAACCAAACAGAGGCTGGGAATGTGGCTTAGTGGTAGAGTGATGTCTATCATGCACGAACCCCTGGGTTCCATTCCTCAGTACCACATAAACAGAAAAAGCCAGAAATGGTGCTGTGGCTCAAGTGGTAGAGTGCTAACCTTGAGCAAAAAGAGGCTCAGGGACATGGCCCAGGCCCTGAGTTCAAGTCCCAGGACTGGCCAAAAAAAACCCCCAAAAAACAAAAACAAACAAAAAAAAAACACAGAAAAGCAGAAATACCTAACCCTCCCACCCCTGCTGAATTAAAGTTCAACCAGAGAACTCTCAGTGGTTCTCAAACTTGGCTGCATATTAGACTTGTCTGGCATGCAGTACTGGTGCTCCAAGTGGAGTAAAGTGCTTTGGAATGGAGTGTGAGAGCCAAGCAGGGAGAGAAGGGAGTCCAAGTAGAGGAGAGAATGGAGGCAAAAGAGCTTGGTTACCTGCAGAGAGATTAAAAAGGCAAAAAGATTAAAGGTAGAAAAGGGAGTTAGAAAGATGGCAGGAGGAAAAATGGCAGTGATCTTCCTTGTTAGGTATCACAAGCACAGAGTGGCGGAGTGTTCATTGCACGGATACATAAATGAGCACATACACACTCACTAGCTATGTCCTCTGACAGGGTGAGGAAGAGTGACAACCGCAATGGCCAAGGAGAACACTAGGTGCTTTCTAAATACTATTTTCCACTAAAAGGGGCAAGCACTCACTCCATGGAAAATGGCTGATCCTAGGATTACAGAAGGGAAAGAACAAGATGAGCCTGGAGAGAAAATAAGCATTTAACAGTGATGGGGATGAGTTGAATCGACAGAAGTCAGTTTCAGCTGGTTGCTGCTCGCCGAAAGGATAATTTGAGCATCAATAAATAATAACAGGTTGTCCACTACATAGAAAGCATGAGTCAGGCTGGGAAGGTGGCTCAGTGGTAGAGTGCTTGTGTAGCATGCATGAAGCCCTGGGTTCGATTCCTCAGTACCACATAAACAGAAAAAAGCCAGAAGTGGCACTGTGGCTCAAGTGGTAGAGTGCTAGCCTTGAGCAAAAGAAGCTCAGGGACAGTGCCTAAGCCCTGAGTTCAAGCCCCAGGATAAAAAAAAAAATGCATGAGTTGCCAGGCACTGGTGGCTCACGCCTGTAATCCTAGCTACTCAGGAGGCTGAGATCTGAGGATTGTGGTTCAAAGCCAACTTAGGAAGGAAAGTCTGTGAAACTGGTACCTCCAATTAACCACCAGAAAAGTGGAAGTCGAGCTGTGGTTCAAAGTGGTAGAGTGCTAGCTTTGAATAAAAGGGCTCAGAGACAGCAACCATGCCCTGAATTCTAGCCTCATGACTGACCCCCCCAAAAAAGTCTTAATGGATAGAAATATAAGAATGCATAGAATATTTGCTGAAGAATGTAGTATTAATAGTTCCAAAAGTCCCTGCTAGCCGGGTGCTGGTGGCTCACACCTGTAATCCTAGCTACTCAGGAGGTTGAGATCTGATGATCGTGGTTCAAAGCCAGCCTGGGCTTGGAAAGACCATGAGACTCCCATCTCCAATAAACCACCAGAAAACTGGAAGTGGCACTGTAGCTCAAGTGGTAGAGCGCTGGCCTTGAGTTGAAGAGCTGAGGGACAATGCCCAAGCCCAGCGTTCGAGCCCCATGACTGACAAAAAAAAGTCCCTGCTTAAAAATACTAATTACAGAGGGTATATGGGTATATTTGTATCTGTGTGTATGTTTATATGATCCAGTACTGGGGCTTGAACTCAGGGCTTTGCCCTGAACCACTTGAACCACAGCTCTACTTCTGGTTTTTTTTGTGGTGAACTGGAGTTCTCATGGAATTTCCTACCCAGGCTGGCTTCAAACCATGATCCTCACATCTCAGTCTATTGAGTAGCCAGGATTATAGGAGTGAGACACTGGCATTTAAAGCCACTTTTATTAATATTATTATTTTGGAGTCTTAGGGTCTAGGGTCTGAACTAAGAGCCTGGTTGCTGTCCCTGAACTTTTTAACCCTTGAGTCACAACTCTACTTCCAACTTTTCTTGGTGCTTAATTGGAAATAAGAGTCTCATGGACTTTCTTGTGTAGGCTGGCATTGAACTGTGATCCTCAGATCTCAGCCTCCTGGACATTCATAGACTCTCCCTCTTGATATGAAAGAGGCATACTGCATAAATCAGAAATCGTTCTGATCACAATAGAGAAGACTATACCAAAGGTTCCAAGATGTTTTCTGATAAGGCAATAACTGAGCACAACACCTCCTGGTTTACTGGACTACTTCCACTTTCATTGTCTACTTTAGGGCATTAGTAATCTGTGAACATCCTTTGGGAAACATGGGGGAAATGCCACAAGTCTTCTAGCCTTGGGCTTTCAAATCCTGAGGACAATACACGATGGAACCTCATCTGGGTCATACATTAGGTTGTCACAGAGAAGTGCTAACATACTAATGTACATTTGAAAATACAGAGCAAATGTACTATTTTTTAAAGTGTTCATAAATACTGATTCCTTCTGTCCAGACAGAATATCTCAAATGATCATGTTGCACATCTGGGTGTCAGGGGAAGTCCAGAAGCCCTGTATTTGTGTGTGATGGCTGGCTTGTTTTTAGATTGTGTGTGGGGTTTTATTTTCTGACACTGTCTCACCATAGGCCTGGCCTTAACTAACAATTCTCCTGCCTTAGCCTTCTGAGTGCTGGGTTTATAGGCAGGTACTATCATGCATGGTTCGGATTTGTTTTACTATGGAAATTTTCAACAAAATAAAAGCAGAAAGACTACAAAAATGAACTCCATATACAGAACTTAAGTTCCATGATTATCAGCATATTTTCCTCTCTCCTGTACACATGCTTTCCTTCGGGTAAGGGTTGCAAAATTTTAAGGAAAAGTCAGATGTCATATCCTTTCATCCATAATATTTCAGTAAGCATTTCTAACAGATAAGGGCTTACAAAATGTGGTAAGTAAAGTCAAGTGTTGAGATGCCTGTAATCCCAATCTTGAAAAGCAGATTCCAAGCCAGCATGATCTACATACTGAGACCCTGTCTCAATCTACCCCCTCGATAAAGTCCCCATATTCCAGTCCCCATAATTTCTTTCTTTCTTTTTTTTTTTTTTGGTCCGGTCGTGGGGCCTGAACTCTGGGCCTGGGCGCTGTCCCTTAGCTCTTCAGATCAAGGCTAGCGCTCTACCACTTGAGCCACAGCACCACTTCCGGCTTTTTTTCTTTTTGCTTATATGGTGCTGAGGAATCGAACCCAGGGCCTCAGGCATACAAGGCAAGCGCTCTACCACTGAGCCACCTTCCCAGCCCCCAGTCCCCATAATTTCTAAATGATCCTCAAAACCAGCAGTAGAAAACTGGAATTAAAGCACTCAGTCTACCAGGCTCTGGTGGCTCATGCCTTTAATCCTAGCTACTCAGATTCTCAAATCTCAGCCTAAGCAGTACAGTCTATGAGACTCTTATTGCCAATTAACCACCAGAAAACCAGCACTGTGGCTCAAAGTGGTAGAGTGCTAGCCTTAAGCAAAAGAGCTCAGGAATAATGCCAACATCCTCAGTTCAAGCACCATGACCAACAACAACAAATTTTAAAGTGCTTAGTCTGTGAGAAATCAGAAGTGGCAATTGCCAAACAATTCTCAAACACTTTGAAAAATTTAAAATTACTGTTGGCAGTAGAGTCTCCAGAATCATCAAGAACCAAAACTATGGATGTTACATCCTGCCATAAGCACTCTAGGCTACAGGTCCCAACAACTCAGGAGTCTCTTGAACCTTGACATGAGAGTCACAGTAGGGAGCCCAATGTGTGTTGGCTGAGAGAGACTGGAATGGTCAGGAATGGTCAAGTTGATGGAGCCTACAAGTCTGGAGCACATACTTCAGTCCAGATACCTGATATTCGTCCTTTTAAGTCAATTACACAGAAGAGACCTGACCTCAAATTCTAAGATGAAGGAACTCTCTCCCCCTCCCTCCTTCTGTCTGTCTGTCTGTTTTTCATGCAGACACATACAAGACTCAATTCCTAGGGTTTTATGAGCAAATGAATTATGAATTAAGATATGAGATGGCACATTTTTTCCTTATATCCTTAAGATAATATTTTAGACATAGTCTAAAGCTGGAATTTGCGTTGGGGCATTGGTGGCTTACATTTATAATCCAGTTACTCAAGAGGCTGAGATATGAGGGATCGCAGTTTGAGGCCAGCCTGGGCAGAAAAAGTTGGCTAGACTCCATCATCAAATAACCAGCAAAAAAGAAGAGATGGAGGTATAGCTCAAGCAGTATAGTTCCATCCTAGGAAGCTAGCAAGGACATGGGCCTGAGATCAAACCCTATTATTATATAAAAAAAAAAATCGGTGATGAGAATTTGGTCATAAAGCACATACTCCTCTTTTGGGAGGGTAGGGTAAAGCTGTAAAAACTATCAATGTGCTAATAATTATGCAGAATAGAGTTTCACTAGAAAGAAAAATAAAAATGTTGGAGGCATGGCACAAATGGTAGAAAGCCTGCTTAGTGAGGCTGAATTCAAAGCCCAGTACTGCCAAAAAAAAAAGGAAAAGAGAAAGAGAAAAATAAAGAGAAAGACAAAGGGCTGGGGATGTGGCTTAGTGGTAGAGTGCTTGCCTAGCATGCATGAACCCCTGGGTTCAATTCCTCAGTACCACATAAACAGAAAAGGCTGGAAGTGGTGCTGTGGCTCAAGTGGTAGAGCGTTGAGCATAGAGAGGTTTAGGGACAGAGCACAGGCTGAGTCCAAGCCCAGCAAAAAAAAAAAAAGCAAAAACAATACAGGCTGGCGCTAGTGGCTCATGCCTGAAATCCTAGCTACTCAGGAGGCTGAGATCAGAGGATAGGGGTTCAAAGCAAGTCAAAGCAGGAAAGTCTGTGAAACTCCTATCTCCAATAAACCACCAAAAAACTGGAAGTGGCACTGTGGCTCAAGTGGTAGACCACTTGCCTTGAGCTGAAGAGTTGTGGGACAGTGCCCAGGCCGAGTTCAAGCACCACAACTGACAAAAATAAGAGAGAGGGAGGGAGGGAGGGAGGGAGGGGAGAAGGGGAGAAGGGGGGAGAGAGAGAGAAAGAAAGAGAGAGAGAGAGAGAGAGAGAGAGAGAGAGAGAGAGAGAGAGAGAGAGAGAGATTGAGTCTGTATATCTGTTTGGCCAAGTCCAGAAAAACATGTCCAAAATGGTTTTCTCATACAGACAAGACGTGCTGTTATGTGAGACTCTTTTTGTGTGTGTGTTGGTCATGGGGCTTGAACTCTGGGCTTGGGCACTGTCCTGAGCTCTACAGCTCAAGGTGAGCGCTCTACCACTTGAGCCACAGTGCCACTTTTGTGCTGTTGTGTGGACCCAAGGGCAAGAACATTTGTGACAATCCCTTTGTGGCTAAACCAAGCAAAACAAATATGTGCCCACTGTACTCCCTCTGAAAATGCCACAGACATGTGGCAGAGATTAACAGAAAAGGAATAACATGGATAAATCCCAGGGAAGGACAGTGGATGCTGAAAAGTCAATATGCAAATAGTCATCTACTTGCTGAGCAGAGAAAGCTGCTGGACGGAGGGCAGCAGGCCTGCTTACTGGGTAGACGCTCAGAAAGGCCCTGCAACAAGAGGTAGCAGCAGGCACATCTGAAGGTCAGCTAGGCTCCATACAAGAGGTATGGAGAGACAACTAACGCATGTCATGAAGCAGAGGCAGATGGTTTACTATATGGGGCTGAGCCATGACTGGTAGAGTTGAGACTGGGACGTGTCACCATACAAAAGCCACAGGGGTCAGGGATGGACTATATATTGACTATGACAAGTCAGGCCTTTCTGCTATTTAGCTATTGAGTCTCTGGTCTAAAGGGCCTCTTCCCAACATGCAGTAGTCAAATACTCTTTCAGTATACAGCCTCATTAGTGCAGAAGGATGGGTAAGGGGCATCTGCAACATGAAAACAGCCAAGTCCAAAGATCCTTTTCTGGCAGAGAGTGGGGCTTGAATGTAGAGCCTTGTGCATGCTATGTGAGTAGTGCACTATCACTTGAGGCAGGCCTCCAGTCACCCAAACAAAGATTCTGAGCAAACTGCACAGAAGAGTATCTTGAGAAAATCAGACTTTTTCTCTTCATGAAACTGTAAGAGCCTACATCTACAGAACAAGAATAAGAATGCTGGAATAGCTAGGTGCCTGTGGTTCACGCCTGTAATCCTAGCTACTCAGGAGGCTGAAATCTGAGGATCACAGTTCAAAGCCACCCTGGGCAAGAAAGTCCATGAGACTTTTATCTCTAATAAACCACTCAGAAAACCAGAAGTGGCGCTGTGGCTCAAGAGATGGAGTGCTCGCCTTGAGTTGAAGAGCTGAGGGACAGTGCCCAGGCCCAGAGATCAAGCCCCCACGACCAACCAAAAAAAAAAAAAAAAAGAATGCTGGAATATCCACAGATTAAGAAAGAAAGCTGATTTAAAACAAACAAACAAAAAAAACCCACCAGCACAACTGGGTACTGGTGGCATACACCTGTAATCCTAGCTACTCAGGAAACTGAGATATGTGGATAGCAGTTCAAAGCCATCTGGGGCAGGAAAGTCTGTGAGACTCATTTTTTTTGGCCTGTCATGTGGCTTGAACTCTGGGCCTGGGCACTGTCCCTCAGTTCTTCAGCTCAAGGCAAGCGCTCTACCACTTGAGCCACAGTGCCATTTATGGTTTTCTGGTGTTTAACTGGAGATAAGAATCTCGTGGACTTTCCTGCCCCGGCTGGCTTTGAACCATGATCCTCAGACCTCAGCCTTCTGAGTAGTGCAGATTACAGGCGTGAGCCACGGGCACCAGGCAGTGAGTCTCTTATCTCCAATTAACCATTAGAAAACTGGAAGTGGAGCTGTGGCTCTAACTGGTACAGTGCTTTGAAGAAAAAGAGCTCAGGGACAGCACCCAGGCCCTGAGTTCCAGCTCCATGGCCAACAAAACAAAAACAAACAAACAAATCCCAGTTTGAGCCAGGCACTGGTGGCTCATTCTTATAATCCTAGCTGAGATCTTGAGATCTGAGGTGGCTGAGATCTGAAGATCAAAGTTCAAAAGCCAACTCCAGGAAAGAAAGTCTGTGAGATTCTTAAATCCATTAAACTACTCAGAAAAAGCAGGAAGTGGCACGTGGCTTAGGTGTTATAGCACTAGCTTTGAGCAAAAGAAGCTTAGGGACAGAGCCCAGGCTGAGCTCAAGCCCCAGGACACACACATAAACACACACACACACACACACACACACACACACACACACACACACACACACACACACACACACACACACACACACACACACACACACACACACACACACACACACACACACACACACACACGCAGGCACGCACATGTTCATAGGGGATACTAAGCCCAAGGGAAGCTGCAGAAGAGAAGGGTGCCCTCTGCTGATAGGGCCATGGAAAAGCATCACAGAATACGTGCTTGCTTTGGAGCTTTAAGCAGTAGGGATTTTCAGAGTGGGGAAGAAAGGACCTTTGGTGGTGGAAAATCCACAGGAAAAACAAGAACACAGCTACTGAATACAGAATGTGGTCAGCCTGAGAAAAGGCAAAGGTCCTGATGAGCTTTGTAGATGTGAATTACATTTTCCAGACTCATAGGGTACATTTACTGTTTCTGAAGGAAAAGCCATTCTACCTTTTTTTTTTCTTTTTGCTAGTCCTGGGGCTTGAACTCAGGGCCTGGGCACTGTCCTTAAGCTTCTTTTGCTCATGGCTGGCACTCTACCACTTAAGCCACAGCACCACTTCTGGCTTTTTCTGTTCGTGTGGTACTGAGAAATCAAAACCAGGACTTCTTCATGCATGCTAGGCAAGCACTCTACCACTGAGCCACATTCCCAGCCCATTCTACCTTCTAACTAGGATAAAAGAGCATTTCTCATCCCACCCCAAATATCCTGCCTTTGGTTTGCATTCCCTGGCATCCTGACAGCTGGGAGCTGCTGCAGGGTTTCTGGCCTTATTTTTTTACAAATAGAGACTCTTGAGGCCATTCTCCCTCTCCCTCTCCCTTTCCCCCCTCTTCCCCTCCCGCCCCCTCTCTCTCTGTCTCTGATTTTTCAGTTGTGAGGCTTCAACTCTGGGCCTGGGCCCTGTCCCTCAGCTCTTTAGCTCAGGCTAGGGCTCTACCACTTGAGCCACAGTGCCACTTCTGGCTTTTTCTGTTTATGTGGTACTGAGGAATTGAACCCAGGGCCTTATGCATGCAAGGCAAGCACTCTATCACTGAGACACCTTCCCAGCCCCTCTCAATTATTCTTACTAATATTATGCATGGTATAATCACCAAGGCCATTCAGAACAGCAAGCATGTCAGCATGCAGCCACCACTCTAGTCTGAGAACACAGTACTTACAATTTAGGAACGAGGGCAAATCTCATCTTGCTTAGCAGCTCATCCTCTTGCAGCATGACCAAGGCAGTTGGATACATCTGATCAAACTCAAAATTAAACTGCACACCAGCTGGTGGGTCACGAAGGAAATTCCTCTTATCCTTCGATGAAAAAGGGGAGGAAGAATACAGGGGAAAATTCACAAAATGCAATTAACAGGTCACAGCGTATTATCATTATTATTATTATTTTGGGTCCGGTCATGGGGCCTGAGCTCTGGGCCTGGGCACTGTCCCTCAGCTCTTCTGCTCAAGGCTAGCACGCTACCACTTGAGCCACAGCGCCACTTCTGGCTTTTTTCTTTTTGCTTATGTGGTGCTAAGGAATTGAACCCAGGGCCTCAGGCATGCAAGGCAAGTGTACTACCACTGAGCCACCTTCCCAGCCCAACACAGCGTATTATTGATGAAAAAGTATTAAATTCTACCAAAAAGTTTCAGCCACAAAGTTCACTGATCTGTCACTGACCTGCTTGATTAACAGATGAGAGAACAACAGAGTCTTTCTTGTATTTTCGCGCGCGCGCGCGCGCGCGCGCGCGTGTGTGTGTGTGTGTGTGTGTGTCTGTCTGTCTGTCCTGGAGCTTGAACTCAGGGCCTGGGTGCTGTCTTTGAGCTTTTTTGCTCAAGCCTAGTGCTCTACTGCTTCAGCCACAGCTCCACTTCCAGTTTTTTGGTTGTTAATTGGAGATAAGAGTTGCAAGGAGTTTCCTGCCTGGTCTGGCTTTGAATCACAACCTTCAGATCTCAGCTTCCTGAACAGGTAGGGTTCCAGGCAGGAGCCACCAGTGCCTGGCCCTTTGATGTGTTTTCTATTTCTCACCAATCTCTTGGGAGGCTGGGAAATTTAATCATGTAACTCATGGAAATTATAGCTATGAATCATAAAAACACATGTTTTATTAAGTACCTTTAGGTATATAAAGAGGGCTGGGAATGTGGCTGGGCTGGGAATGTGTCTTAGTGGTAGAATGCTTTCTTAGCATGAATGAAGACCTGGGTTCGAATCATCAGTACCACATAAACAGAAAAAGCTGGAAATGGTGCTGTGGCTCAAGTGGTAGAGTGCTAGCCTTGAAAAAAGAAGCTCAGGGACAATGCCAGGCCATGAATTCAAGCCCCAAACTGGCAAAAAATAAATTGACATCAATAGGAAAGTATTCCATAGGGGCTGGGAAGGTGGCTCAGTGGTAGAGCACTTGCCTTGCATGCATGAAGCCCTGGGTTCGATTCCTCAGCACCACATAAGCAAAAAGAAAAAAGCCGGGAGTGGCACTGTGGCTCAAGTAGTAGAGCACTAGCCTTGAGCTGAAGGGCTGAGGGACAGTGCCCAGGCCCAGAGTTCAGGCCCCATGACTAGACCCAAAAAATAAAATAAAAAATAAAAAAAGGAAAGTATTCCATATACCATGATTGACTGACTTTCACTCAAGGTCATGAAAAACTTTTTGGTTCCAATGTTTACATCAAACTAGCTGTAATTTACCATAATTTATTTAACTGGGCCCATTTTAATAGTCATTTAAATAGGTATCACAATGAAATTTCCTTTTATTTTTGTGCCAGTCCTGGGGCTTTAACTCAGGGCCTGAGCTCTTTTTGCTCAAGGCTAGTGCTCTATCACTTGAGCCTCAGCTCCACTCCCAGCTGTTCTGGTGCTTAATTGGTGGTAATTGTCTTATAGACTTTCCTGCCTAGACTGGCTTTAAAGCTTGATTCTCAGATCACAGCCTCCTGAGTAACTAGAATTATAGGCACGATCCATGAGCACCTGGCTTAAAATCTCCTCTTGTGTAGTTGCTAATGTATGTTAATAAAAGAAAAACGAAGAAAAAACAGTGGAGGCAGGGGTGGTGTTGTATAACTCTGTGGCAGGAACCATGTTTAAACTATACAGGGCCCTGAGATTCAATCTGCATTCCCTCCAAAAAAAAAAAAAAAAGAGTGGATTAAAATAAAAATCCTGGGGGAAAAAAAGCCCTGCTAACATATCTATTGATGGAGTTATGTGCCTTGCAATGAGCTAGCTGCTTAGGGTGAAAATATCAGCCTGGCCTTTACTCTCTTGAGCATTGCCAGTTGAGTAGAGAATACAGAGAGGAAATGAAGGTATCACCCGCATTTCTGTTCAATCTTCTCACTTGTCTCAAGGTGATAAAAGCCTGACTTATTATACAGAAGTGCTGTGAGGTTCAATAGAGTAGTGTGTGGGAAAGTGCTTTTGCAAACTGTCAGATACCAAACAATCGCTAGCAAGTCTGGCTGCATTTCCTCCAAAGTCTTCAGGTAAAGTTTTGCAGGCCAGCCTGTGGAATACTGTCCTATCAATTTTCAACAAGTACATATAGGTAAAGAGAAAATAGAGAATACAATCATTTCCTTCACAGAAACTAGAATGCTGCCTAAAAAACTTCCTATGGTAATGTATCTCAAAACACTATTGTCAGGCCAGAAGCCAGTGGCTCATGCCTATAATCCTAGCTACTCAGGAGGCTGAGATCTGAGGATTGTAGTTCAAAGCTAGCCTGAGCAGAAAAGTCGGTGAGACTCTCATCTCCAGTAAACCACCAGAAAACCAGAAGTGGAGCTGTTGCTCAAGTGGTAGAGTGCTCGTTTTGAGCTGAAGAGCTGAGGGACAGCACCCAGGCCTGGCGTTCAAGCTCCATAACTAACACAAAACAAAACAAACAAACATTATTGCCAGGTGTGCTGGTGCACATCTGTAATCCCGGCACTCTGGAGATGGAGGTAGGAGGCTCTGTCTGTTTCAAGAAAATTAAAACTGGCTGGGTGCTAGTAGTTCGTGTCTATAATCCTAGCTAGCTACTTAGGAGGCTGAGATCTGAGGATTGCAGTTCAAATCCAGGCCAGGCAGGAAAGTCTATGAGACATTCATCTCCAATTAACCACAAAAAAGCTGGAAGGAGAGTTATGGCTCAAGTGGTAGAACGCTAGCTTTGAGCAAAAAAGCTCAGGAACAGGGCTCAAGTCCTGAGTTCAAGCCTCAGAATTGGTATTGAAAATAAAAATTGGGCTGGGGAGGTGGCTCAGTGGCAGGGTGCTTACCTTGCATGCATGAGGCCCTGGGTTCGATTCCCCTGCACCACATAAGTAGAAAAAGCTGGAAGTGGCATTGTGGCTCAAGCGGTAGAGCACTAGCCTTGAGCTGAAGAGCTGAGGGGCAGTGCCCAAGCCCAGAGTTCGAACCCCATGACTGACCCCCCCCCAAAAAAAATAAAATAAAAATTGTACTGAAGAAAAACAAAAGGACTGGGGATCTGGGAATGTGGCTTAGTGGTAGAGTGCTTGCCTAGCATGCATGAAGCCCTGGGTTCGATTCCTTAGTACCACATAAAGAGAAAAAAAGCCAGAAGTGGCACTGTGGCTCAAGTGGTAGAATGCTAGCTTTGAGCAAAAGCAGCTCAGGGACAGTACTTAGGCTCTGAGTTCAAGCCCCAGGACCAGCAAAAAACAAAACAGAACAAAACAAAAACCCAGGTGCCTGTGGTTCACACCTGTAATCCTAGCTACTCAGGAGGCTGAGATCTAAGGATCGTGGTTCAACAAACCACTCAGAAAACCTGAAGTGACACTGTGGCTCAAGTGATAGAGCGCTACCCTTGAGCTGAAGAGCTGAGGGACAGCGCCCAGGCTCAGAGTTCAAGCCCTATGACTGACAAAAATAAAGGAGGGGGGGCCTGGGAATGTGACTTAGTGGTGGAGTGCTTGCCTATCATGCATGAAGCCCTGGGTTCAATTCCTCAGTACCACATAAACAGAAAGAGCCATAAGTGGAACTGTGACTCAAGTGGTAGAGTGCTAGCCTTCAGTAAAAGTTCAGGAACAGTGCCCAGGCCCTCAGCTCAAGCCCCAGGACTCACAATTAAAAAAAAATTGCATGAGGCAGGTAATGTCTCATGTAAAAAAAGGGCATCTTAGTGGTAGAGTGCTTGCCTAGCATGCATGAGCCCTGGGTCTGATTCCTCAGTACCATATAAACAGAAAAAACTGGAAGTGGCACTGTGGCTCAAGTGGTAGAGTTCTAGCCTTGAGCAAAAGAAGCTCAGAGACAGTATCCAGGGCCTGAGTTCAAGCCCCAGGACTAGCAAAAAAAAAAAAGAAGAAGAAAAAGGAAAAAAATTCTGCTAAAGATAAAGTCATACTGATGTATCATGACAGGAAGAAAGTCTGTATATATATATATTATATATATCATAAGATACTTACAGCAGATAATGCTAAGATTTGTTGTTGAATTGTTTCTTCATCATTAGTGTCAACCCATGGGGGCACAGCTGCTTCTGTACAGAAGGTGGAAAAAAAATAGGTTACAATGGCTATATTATAATTTATGATTTTAAAGAATGAGAAAATATCTATTTGACTATTTAAAACAGCCATTTACCAGTAAATATTAAGTTATTGTAATATCTTTACTTAATTAATTTGTGAGTTTTATGTATGTTTGCATTTAGTCAAAATAATTTTACTTAAACTGAGCACTAGTTACTTACTCCTGTATTCCTAGCTGAGATTTGGAAGATCCAAGTTTGAAGTCAGCCTAGGCATTTTTATGTAGTGGTGTATATTTGTCATCCCAGCTATGATGGGAGGTCTAAAATAGGAGGATCATGGTCTAAGCATTTGTACAGACAGGAAGCGAGGCCCTATCTCAAAAACAACCAGTACAAAGAAGGGCTGGATGTATTGCTAAGTGGTAGAATCCCTACCAATTATGAGTCTGAGTTTAACCCCCTAAAACTGTGTCCCCCAAACAAATCAAAACAAACTCTATTTGAATGACACTATAAAGAAATCTGACAACACTGTAATCAGAGTATTAAAATAACCATCAGAGCTGGGTGCTGGTGGCTCACACCTCTAATCCTAGCTACAAAGGAAGTTGAGGTGTGAGGCTAGTAGTTCAAAGCCAGCCCAGGTAGGAAAGTCTGTGAGACTCTTATCTCCAATTAACCACCAAAAAACCAGGAGTAGTGCTGTGGCTCCAAGTGGTAGAGTGCTAGCCTTGAGCGAAAGAGCTCAGGGATGGTACGCAGGCCCCGAGTTCAAGCCCCATGAACTACAAAAAAAGCTATCAGCAAATAAATACATTCAGACATGGTATGCTAAGATGAACATAATATCACCTATGTGCTATTCTGGCCAAAAATGAATAATCTGAATCTAATCATGAGAAAATATCAGAAAAACCCTAAATGTAGATGATGCTATTAAAAAAGGGAACAGTAGACGGGCGCTGGTGGCTCACGGCTGTAATCCTAGCTACTCAGGAGGCTGAGATCTGAGCATCATGGTTCAAAGCCAGCCCGGGCATGAAAGTCTGTGAAACTCTTATCTCCAATAAACCACCAGAAAAAATCCGAAGTGGCCCTGTAGCTCAAGTGGTAGAGCACCAGCCTTGAGCTGAAGGGCTAAGGGACAGTGCTCAGGCTCAGAGTTCAAGCCCCACGACCGACAAAAAATAAAATAAAAATAAAAAAGGGAACAGTATTCTCCAAAACTTTTTTTTTGGGGGGGTCTGGTTGTGGGGCCTGAACTCTGGGCCTGGGCGCTATCCCTCAGCTCTTCAGCTCTAGTCTAGTGCTCTACCACTTGAGCCACAGCGCCACTTCCAGCGTTTTTCTTTTTTGCTTATGGGGTGCTGAGGAATTGAACCCAGGGCCTCATGCATGCAAGGCAAGCGCTCTACCACTGAGCCACCTTCCCAGCCCCTCTCCAAAACTTTTAATGTTATAAAAGACAAAGAAATGTTATTGGAAAGTTAAGAGATTAAATGAGGGTAAGACATATGGAAAAGAACTGAATTATCTTATCCTTAATTGAATTGTGGCAAGAAGGGACTGGAAATGTTATAAAGGACATTTGGGAGCATCCACTACATAGTGAATTATCCTTAATTGGATTGTGGAAGACATTGTGTCATAAAGGACATTTGGTAGTCTTGACTACATAGTAAGACCTCATCTTGAAAACAATAGCAATGCTGGGAAAGTGGCTTAGTGGTAGAGTGCTTGCCCAGAATGCATGAAGCCCTGGGTTGGATTCCTCAGTGCCACATACACAGAAAAACCTGGAAGTGATGCTGTGGCTCAAGTGGCAAGTGCTAGCCTTGAGCAAAAGAAGTTCAAGGACAGTGCCCAGGCCCTGAGTTCAAGCCCCAAGATTGGCAAAAAACCAAAACAACAAAAAAAAAAACAGTACAAGGTGAGTGATTATGAGTGAGAAAAAGGGTTTCAGAAGTGAAAAATGGACCAGGGTGTTATTGGCTCATGCCTATAATCCTAGCTACCCAGGAGGCTGAGATCTAAGGATCAAGGTTGGAACTTAGCCCAGGCAGGAAAATCTGTGAGACTCTTATCTCCAATTAACTACCATAAAAGCCAGAAGTAGAGCTGTGGCTCAAGTGGCAGAGTGCCAGCCTTGAATACAAAAGCTCAGGGAGAGTGCCCCAACACTGGCACGCTCCCACGCACGCATGCGCACACACACACACTATTACGTGAATTCCAATTTTGAGCAGATTGAGTTAAATAAGATTATTCAAATTAACTCCAGCTCTTTCTATTTTTACTTCATTTGCGTGGCTACTAGAGTTTTTTTTTTTTTTTTTGGGTCTGGTCGTGGGGCCTGAACTCTGGGCCTGGGCTCTGTCCCTCAGCTCTTCAGCTCAAGGCTAGAGCTCTACCCCTTGAGCCACAGCACCACTTCCAGCTTTTTTCTTTTTGCTTATGTGATGCTGAGGAATCGAACCCAGGGCCTCAGGCATGCAAGGCAAGCGCTCTACCTCTAAGCCAACTTCCCAGCCCTATTTTCTTATTTTTTAGTTGGTCGTGGGGCCTGAACTCTGGGCCTGGGCACTGTCCCTCAGCTCTTCAGATCAGGCTAGTGCTCTACCTCATGAGCCACAGCACAACTTCTGGCCTTTTCTGTTTATGTGGTGCTGAGGAATCGAACCCAGGGCCCCATGCATGCAAGGTAAGCACTCTACCACTGAGCCACCTTCCCAGCCCCACTACTAGAGTATTTAAAATGACTTACCTGGCTTGTGTAATTTTTGTTTGTGTGTGAATATGTGGATGTGTCAAAATGTAATTAAAATGCTCTTCCTCAGAGCCAACTCCCTAGAGGGGCTGTTCTCACCCACTATCCCAGCCCTGGGAATAACTTAATCCCTTTCTTTAAACCTAAAGGTTTATGGGTGAGTCTTCTCATCACTAGTCCTTCTGCTGTCAGAAGGATGGCTGGTTAATGCCCCCTTTTTTTGGTGTTGGGATCAAATCTAGGATCCTATACAAGCTAAGCATAGGGTCTGTAACTCAGCCTTATACACATTTTTGTATTTTCAGAGCCTTAGTATGGTTCTAGCACATACTAGGTGCTTAATCAAATCTAGTGGCAGGTAGGTGGAAGAGCTGGGGTTGTAGGTCAGTAGTAATGTTTTCCTAGCATCAGCAAGACCTTTAGTTAAGTACTTAGCACTATAAAATACATATCCCCCTCACAGACATATACACATGCACGCGCACACACACACACACACACACACACACACACACACACACACACACACACGAATGCACACACAGCAAGTTAAGTAAGGCAAATGTATACCATACCAGACTTCTTTGTATGTTGTTCCTCAACAAACTTTTTTTGTTCCTTCTGAAAATCTCCTATAATTGTCTGTTGAAAAAAGGGCAGAGTGGTTTTCATTCTAGTAAAGAGTACACATAGCAAAAATATCTAAATAACAATATCTAAGGCTTAACTGATGACCACTTTGAACTTTACAACTTGAGGGAGGGAGGGAGGAGTTGGGGAGGGAAGGATGGTAGGGAAAAACAAATAAGGGGGTAACAATGCTCAATAGGAAATGTACTCATTACCTTGCTCATGTAACTGTAACCCCTCTGTACAGTATCTTTATAATAAAAAATATATATTTTTAAAAAAAGAATTACTAGGGCGGGGAAGGTGGCTCAGTGGTAGAGTGCTTGCCTTGCATGCATGAGGCCCTGGGTTTGATTCCTCAGCACCACATAAGCAAAAAGAAAAAAGCCGGAAGTGGCGCTGTGACTCAGGTGGTAGAGCGCTAGCCTTGAGCAGAAGAGCTGAGGGACAGTGCCCAGGCCCAGAGTTCAGGCCCCATGACTGGACCCCCTCCCGCCCCCCACAAAAGAATTACTAATAGCCAGGGCACCAGTGGCTCACGCCTATAATCCTAGCTACTCAGGAGGCTGAGATCTGAGGATTGTGGTTCAAAGCCAGCCAGGTCAGGAAAGTCTGTGAGACTCATCTCCAATTAACCCCAGAAAACTGGAAGTGGTGCTGTGGCTCAAGTGGTAGAGCGCTCACCTTGAGCTGAAGAGCTCAGGGACAGCACCCAGTCCTGGAGTTCAAACCCCATGACTGACCAAAAAAAAAAAAATGACTAACAATAAGTGAAATCCCCTAAGCCTGAATTTTAGCACTAGGAAAACAAAAAACAAAGTCACCCTTTGAAGTTTAACAGTTGCTCCTGATGAGCAACTGTTTGTAAATCATACAAAGACCAGGTGCCAGTGGCTCACGCCTGTGATCCTAGCTACTCAGGAGGCTGAAGTCTGAGGATTGCGGTTCAAAGCCAATCAAAGCAGGGAAGTCCATGAGAATTTTGTCTCCAACTAACCACCAAAAATCTGGAAGTGGAGCTGTGGTTCAAGTGGTATAGTGCTAGCCTTGAGCAAATAAAAGCTCAGGGACAGTGCCCAGGTTCTGAGTTCAAGCTCTAGGACCACCACCCCCTGGCCCCCAACACACATATACATACACACACACACACACAATCATACAAAGGCATACATATATATCTTGAAATAGTTAAATTTAAAATTAAACTTGGCCAGGTACTAGTGGCTGACACCTGTAATCCTAGCTACTCAGAAGGCTGAGATCTGAGGATGGTGGTTCAAAGCCAGCCTGGGCAGCAAAGTCTGTGAGACTCTTATCACCAGTTAACCATCAGAAAACTTGAAGTGGTGCTGTGGCCTGAAGTGGTAGAGCACTAGCTTTGAGTAAAAGAGCTCAGAGAGGGACAGTGCCCAGGCCGCGAGGTCAAGCTCCATGACTGACCAAAAAAAAAGAAAAAAAGAAATTTAAACTATATTAAAGTTTTGTTATAATCGAGCAGTAAACTATATTAAAGTGTAAACAAAGTTTTTATTTTTATTTTTTGTTAGTACAGGGTTTTAAACTCCAGGCTTTGTCCTTGCTAGGCAGGCATTCTACCACTTGAGCCAGGTCCCTAGCTCTTCCCTTTTTTTTTTTTTGTTGGTTGTGGGGCTTGAACTCTGGGCCTGGGCACTATCCCTCAGCTCTTCAGCTCTAGGCGAGCATTCTACTGCTTGAGCCACAGTGCCACTTAAGGTTTTCTAGTGGTTTATTGGAGATAAGAGTCTCATGGACTTTCCTGCCCAGGCTGGCTTTGAACCGTGATCCTCAGACCTCAGCCTCCTGAGTAGCTAGGATTACAGGCCTGCGCCATCAGTGCCTGTCTTCCTCCCTTTTTTCAAGCAAGGTCTCCCCAAGTAGTTCAGGTTGGCCTCTAACTACTGATCTTCTTGACACAGCCTGCTGTGTTAAAATCAAAGGTATTTATACAAAAGTACTTTTATACAATGAGAAAGAAAAAGAATCTCAATAATTAAACATTATCACAATAACATGGTATCTTACTTGGATTAAAAAAAGTTCAGAAGGGATGAAATTAACTGCTAATAAATTTTATAAATTTCTACTTCCAAAAGATGTTTAAATGTACCTTATCAATGATGTCATCTATTTTTCCTTCTTCTACAGATTTCTTTATTGTCTGTGCTGTTTCAGCAACTGATTCAGTTATCTTCTTTGTAGCAGCACTTGCGAAGTTAAACAGATAATCTGCAGTGGATAAAAACAGTGGATGTTTCATTCAAGTACAATGTTTGTGAGAGTTTTCCATCAGTATCTGTGGGAAATCTATCTCAGAACATACTCAGATTCCAAAATCTGTGAACACTCAAGTCCTTTATATAAAACAACATAGTATTTGTGTAGAACTTACAACCTCCTATATTAAATATCTCCATCTATAATACTTAGTATGATGTAAATGCTACATAAACTGTAGTTATATTATTTAGGGATAAGGAAGAGGAAAAAAAGTCTGTACATATTCAGTACAGAGATAATTTATTCTTTTTTTTTTTTTTTTTTTTTGGTCAGTTGTATGGCTTGAAATTGGAGCCTTGGTGCTGACCCCGAGTTCTTTTCCTCAAGGCTAGCACTGTACCACTTTGAGCCACAGCACCATTTCTGGTTTTTTGGTGGTTAACTGGAAATAAAGAGTCTCATGGAGTTTCCTGCCTGGGTTGGCCTTGAACCACAAGTCTCAGATCTCAGGTTCCTGAGTAGCTAGGATTACAGGTGTGAGCCACTGGTGCCTAGCTAATTCTTTTCCAGATATATTGTCAGTCATGGGGCCTGAACTCTGGGCCTGGGTGCTGACCCACAGTGCTACTTCCAGTTTTTTCTGTTTATGTATTGAGGAATCAAACCCAGGGCTTCACATATGCTAGGCAAGCACTCTACCACTAAGCCACATTCCCAGTTACCAGGCATTAGTGACTCATGTCTGTAACTCTGGTTACTCCAGAGGCTGAGATCTGAGGATTGCAGTTTAAAGCCAGCCAGGGCAGGAAAGTTTGTAATACTCTTGCCTTCGATAAACTAATCAGAAAAAGCTGAAAGCAGACATGTGGTTCAAGTGGTAGTGCACTAGCCTTGAGTCTATGAATCTCTGTGACGGTGCCCAGGCCCCAGGACTGGTGAAGAATAAAATAAAAACTGCTATTTTATGAGAGAATGATGAAAAGAATGACATTGGACAAGATGCATTGTATTCATAAACTGCTTTGTTGAATGGCAATGCCTTTGAACAACTATTTTAAAGATTATAAAAACTGGAATTTAGCATAATCATCTCTATTCTCAAATTTTAGTGATTGCCAAAATACAGTTTACTGAACTCACAGTTATCATCCTCAAGGCACAGTTATCATCCTTAAGGAGTGTCTATTTTTAAGCCTAAATAAGGAAATTAAAGAATCAAGACAACAGGGGCTGGGAAGGTGGCTCAGTGGTAAGAGTGCTTGCCTTGCAAGCATGAGGCCCTGGGTTCCATTCCTCAGCACCACATAAGCAAAAAGAAAAAAGCCGGAAGTGGTGCTGTGGCTCAAGTGGTAGAGTGCTAGCCTTGAGCTGAGGAGCTGAGGGACAGCACCCAAGCCCAGAGTTCAGGCCCCACAACCGGACGCAAAAACAAAACAAAGAATCAAGACAACAAAAGAGCAATAAACCAAGGCAGCTATACTCAGAGCAGAACAAACCGTTTCTAGAGAGCTACTGATGGCCTACGAGTGAACAGCAAGAGAGAATGACCAACATCAGCTGTGAGGGCTCCAAGGTAGTGAAGTTCAACACAGCCTTGTGGACAGAAGTAGTTACAGGGACTGGAGCAGAAGCAACAGTCCCATTGTGCTAGGCCTTCAGGATAAGCAGACCAGCTGGTAGCCTGCCCAAGGTGGTGCTGCCGTGTGTGCACGTGCGCGCTCATGCACATGTGCGAACATTGAAGGTGGTGAGTGCATTAAGTGGGAGCTCATGGAAGACTCACTGGGTATCAAACCCAGGGCCTTGTGCATGTTAAGCAAGCACTCAATCACCGTTTCACCCCCTATTCACAAAAAACTTTGCTTTCATAGTTGGCTAAATGGCTGCTATCTTGACTTGAGTTCTTGGAGGGTTCCTACCATTCCACAAACTAGTAAGAGTAGCTGTGTTTAAACTGTATGAACAATATGGTTTATGCTGAATACCTGTTTTCTTCTTGCAGTCTAGACATTTGGCTCATGGCAGGCATAGAGTGCCTATCTGACCAGAACTGAATAAAAACTCTGAATCTCTAGCTGTGTGCTATTGGCTCATGCCCAAAAGGAGGCTGATATCTGAGGATCATGGTTCAAAACCAGTTTAGGCAGGAAACTCCATGCAACTCTTCTCTCCAACTAACAACTAAAAAGCTGGAAGTAAAGCTGTGGCTCAAGTGGTAGAACCCTAACTTTGAGCAAAAGCAGCTTAGGAACAGAGCCTATGCTCTTGAGTTCAAGCCCCAGGACCCCTGTGTGCAGACACCCCCCCCCCAAAAAAAAACAAAAATGGGGCTTCTTAAAGATTCTATCTATCTATCTAATGCCCTGGAAAGACTGTGGGCTCAGTTACTCCAAAGATAACATATGTTTAAGATTAATATGTAGGGCTGGGAATGTGGCTTAGTGGTAGAGTGCTTGCCTAGCTTGCATGAAGCCCTGGGTTCGATTCCTCAGTATTCCACATAAACAGAAAAAGCTGGAAGTAGCATTGTCACTCAAGTGGTAGAGTGCTAGCCTTGAGCAAAATATGCTCAGGGGCAGTGCCCTGAATTCAAGCCCCAGGACTGGCAAAAAAAAAGATTAATATGTAGAAATAAAAAAATCTGATAACTTCTCTTGCCTCTATCAAAGTTTGTGTACAAATTAGAACCTTTATGTCTTCCTAAGATCACATGAATTTCAGAAGCAAGGTCTTAGTTTTCTGAAATATGTGTGTGTGGTGTGTGTATGTGTGTGTCTCACAGTACTTCCATCTACCTCAGCCTCCTAAAATAGAAAATCTAGTGAGGAAAGAAGAGGACAGCATTAGCTCCAAGTTAGGTATGTATATTAAAAACACATTGTTTAAGACCTTTCAGTGAGTTTCCTTATAATAAATGGATAGTGATGAGACAGAGAAACACAGAGCAATAGAGAGGTATCCTGATTATAATATATGCACAATGTGTAATACCCTGGGGAAACCCTTCAGTACAATTGATATACACTAAAACAGTGACAGGAGACAGGCGGGAGAGTAGAACAGGCTCTCTTGGACAGTAGGTAGGGAAGGATGAATAGGGTAAAAAAGACTGAATATGGTCAAGCACTTTAATACACATATATGAAAATAGAGGGCTGGGAAGGTACTCAGTGGTAGAGTGCTTGCCTTGCATGCATGAGGCCCTGAATTCGATTCCTCAGCACCACATAAACAAAAAGAAAAAAGCCGGAAGTGGCACTGTGGCTCAAGTGGTAGAGCACTGGCCTTGAGCTGAAGAGCTGAGGGACAGCGCTCAGGCCCAGAGTTCAGGCCCCACGACCGGACCAAAAATAAATAAATAAATAAATGAAAATACAATAAGGAAACCTATTGAAATTGTTTGAAGAGGGGATGAGGTTGGTGAGGTACACTGCATGTATGTATGCAAATGTCACAATGAAACTTGCCTTGTACAATTAGCATATGCTAACAAAAAATCAGAAAAAAAAACTCACAAAATTTTTTTTTTTTGTGGTACTGAGTATGGAACCCAGGACCTTGCACATATTAAGCAAGAACTTGCTACTGAGCAACATTCTCATTGTGGATCCTTCCCCCAAAACACTAAGCTGGTTGCCAGGGGATCAAGCCTGTAATCCTAGCTACACAGGAGGCTGAGACTTGAGAATTGTGGTTCAAAGCCAGCCCCAGCAGGAAAGCACGTGAGGCTTCTATCTCTAATAACCCACCAAAAAAACGGTTAAGTAGAGCTGTGGCTCAAGTGGAAGAGTGCTAGCTTTGTGTTCAAAAGCTCAAGGCAAGTGCCCAGGCCCTGAGTTCAAACTTGGCACAAAAGCAAATAACAAAAACACTTGTTAGAGGGGCTGGGAAGATGGCTCAGTGGTACAGTGCTTGCCTTGCATGCCTCTGAGGCCCTGGGTTCGATTCCTCAACACCACATAAGCAAAAAGAAAAAAGCCGGAAGTGGTGCTGTGGCTCAAGTGGTAGAGTGCTAGCCTTGAGCTAAAGAGCTGAGAGACAGCGCCCAGGCCCAGAGTTCAGGCCCCACGACCAGACTCAAAAAAAACAAACAAACAAACAAAAAAAAAAACACTTGTTAGAAAATATTCAGAGAAAAAAAAGAAAATATTCAGAGGGTATTATTACTAAATATGAGGTTCCAGGTTGACAGTAAAGCCCTAAGTAAAAGAACTTAACTTTGACACTGCCCTCATGATACATGCAAATGGCTCTCATTTTTTTATGGAATCCAGTTAAACCTACACCCTATTTTTCCTAACCTCATCTCACATTTTTCTACCCTAACTACCTGTCTGTTCTAGTCAAACCTATCTCCTCAAACCTTTGAAACATACATTCAGCTCTTGTCTTCCCCCCCCCCCCCATGCCAGTCATGGGACTTAAAAGTCAGGGACTGGGTGCTGTCCCCTGAGCTTTTGTGCTCAAGCTTAGTTCTCTACCACTTTGAACCATAGTACCATTTCTGGCCTTTTGCTAGTTAATTGGAGATAAGAGACTCACAGACTTTCCTGCCCAGTCTGTCTTTGAACCATGATCCTTAGATCCCGGCCTCCTGAGTAGCTAGGATTACAGGCAACACCTAGGCCCTATCCAGTTTTATTTTTTAAACATTGGCAATAGTCATTTCCTTTTTTTTGGGGGGGGGGGGGAGGGTCCAGTCGTGGGGCCTGAACTCTGGGCCTGGGTGCTGTCCCTCAGTTCTTCAGCTCAAGGCTAGTACTCTACCACTTGAGCCACAGCGCCACTTCTGGCTTTTTTCTCTTTTTTGCTTATGTGGTGCTGAGGAATCGAACCCAGGGCCTCATGCATGCAAGGCAAGCGCTCTACCACTGAGCCACCTTCCCAGCCCTCATTTTTTTATTTTTATTTTTTTTTGCAGCACTCAGTTTTATTTCTTTTGTGCAGTATTTGGGAGCCTGGGGCTCCCAATCTGAGACTATGATTGTTTTCTCTACCCCTTGAGCCCTACAGTACTTCTATGCACATTTAGGCTTTTCTTTTCCCTCCCTCTCTCCATCCCTCTTTCTTTCTTTGTCGGTCGTGGGGCTTGAACTCTGGCCCTTGGCACTGTCCCTGAACTCTTCAGCTCAAGGTAAGCACTCTCCACTTGAGCCACAGCTCCACTTCTGGTTTTCTGGTGGTTAACTGGAGATAAGAGTCTCACAGAGGGCTGGGAAGGTGGCTCAGTGGTAGAGCGCTTGCCTTGTATGCTCGAGGCCCTGGGTTCGATTCCTCAGCACCACATAAGCAAAAAGAAAAAAGCCAGAAGTGGCGCTGTGGCTCAAGTGGTAGAGCGCTAGCCTTGAGCTGAAGAGCTGAGGGACAGCACCCAGGCCCAGAGTTCAGGCCCCACGACCGGACCCAAAAAAAAAAAAAAAGAGTCTCACAGACTTTCCTGCCCAGGCAGGCTTTGAACCGTGATCCTCAGATCTCAACCTCCTGAGTAGTTAGGATTACAGGCATGAATCACAGGCATCCAGCTTCACTTGGGCCTTTTTTGTTGTTGTTGTTGCTGGTTGTGGGGCTTGAACTCTTGGCTTGGGTGCTCTCCTGCTCTTTAGCTCAAAGTGAGCGCTCTACCGCTTGAGCCACAGTGCCACTTCCGGTTTTCTAGTGGTTTATTAGAGATAAGAATCTCTCCTGCGGGGCTGGGAAGTTGGCTCAGTGGTAGAGAGCTCGCCTTGCATGCTTAAGGCCCTGGGTTCGATTCCTCAGCACCACATAAGCAGAAAAAAAAAAGCCAGAAGTGGTGCTGTGGCTCAAGTGGTAGACTGCTAGCCTTTAGCTGAAGAGCTGAGGGACAGCACCCAGGCACAGAGTTCAGGACCCACGACCGGACCCCCCCCCCCCCAAAAAAAAAAGAATCTCTCCTGCCTGGGCTGGCTTTGAACTGTGATTCTCAGATCTCAACCTCCTGAGTAGCTAGGATTACAGGCGTGAGCCACCAGCGCTTGACAGTTGGGCCTTTCTTACTGAAATGTTTCTCCTTCACTCTTAGGCTTATCTCTCCCTTCTAGTGAATCCTTAAAACTTGCTACATTTACTGGCTATCTTTGCTGTAGTTTCCTCAGTTTTAATGCTCACCTATTGTAGGTCTCACTGCCTCAAAGTCACTCTTTTTTGATTAAGTCTTCCAAAGTGTCTTTATAATCAGTTACTATTATAGTCTTCAAAGTCATTCTTTTTTGATTAAGACTTCCAAAGCATCTCTATAATCGGCTACTGTTTATACACTTTATGTCTACAGTCCAGCCCTCCTCCATCTCTAACTAGACAGTAAACTAGATTGTGGGCTTTGAAGTTAGAGGGATCTGAATTCAAATTACACTTCAGTATTATGCTGGGCTTATTCATAACCCTAAGGCATTAGGGATGCTTAACAGATAAAGTGAGGTAGTATTCACAAAGCATATCCCACTGGGACTTGTATAGATTGCTAGACCCTTTACCACCAGAAGGATAAAAAGAGAACCATTCTGTGAACCCGGCTAGTTTAGTTGAGACCCCAACTTTTAGGCTGCTCGAAGGGGAAAAAAAGCAAGTTTTCTTTGGTTTGTTTTTTAAACCACCGATTCAGGCTCCTCAACGGTCCCTGGGCGGAGTTAAGGGTGAAAGTTGGTGAGTTGGAACAACAAAAATTCCTTGTCAAACTTGAAGATGTCGTGCCAGACGGCTTCGTTCTGCTGTCAAAGTATACGAGCATTATGAAGCAGAACGTAGGTAGCATCAGAAACTTCAGGGACAGGACTTGCTTGCCAGGTGACGCTTCCACCTTGCCTAGATCCGCACCAAAGTCTCCTGCTTCTAGGAGAACAAATCGAAAGACACGCCTCCCTGCCCCCCCCACCCTCTACGCGACCGTTCTTCCCAGTCAGGGGGTCTCGCACCCAGAGGCAACTCCCAGACTCACTGCCAAGGCCTTTGGCCTGCTGGAGGAGCTCCTGTTCTCCGTCTAGAGGCTGCTCCAGCTCGGCGGACTCCGCCTCCTTCTCCGATTCCGGGGTCTGCTTGGAAGCGTCTCCCGTGGATTGCTCGCGTCTCTGGGCCTGCTCGTCTTTTGCCTCCGGCTGCGGCAAGCCAAACCAAATACCTAGCCCACGGAACATCCCGCCCCAGGGGCCCGCACCGCGGCCCCCTCAACGGAAACCCGAGCCGGAGCTGCCAGTTGTTTAACGCTCAGGGAGCTGACCGGAAATGGGAAGGTGGCTAAAGCAGCAGCTCCACCGGGGCACACCTCTATGACGTAGTTACTCCAGACCGCGCAAGCGCAGTGCCCGCTAGAAGGCTCCGCCCCTGTCACGTGGGTCGTGACGTAGGTGTTGTGCGCAGGGAACCAGGACAAAGGGCTGTCCCTGCATCTTCCAGTCCTGTCTCTTTTCCTACTCCTCTAGCTTGGTAGGGAAAAGACGAATCTTTGCACTAGGATGATCTGAGTAAGCTATTTTTTTTTTTAAATTGCTTCTAAGCAGCTTGGGTAGTGATTTGCCCTTTTTAGTCCGGCTGGGCTGGTCCTGGTGGAAATGGATGTCTTTAGGCCTCTTTCTGGGCTCTAGTCAAAACTAACCCAGAGGGGCTGGAAAGGTGGCTCAGTGGTAGAGTGCTTGCCTTGCATGCATGAGGCCCTGGGTTCCATTCCTCAGCACCACATAAGCAAAAAGAAAAAAAGCAGGAAGTGGCGCTGTGGCTCAAGTGGTAGAGTGCTAGCCTTGAGCTGAAGAGCTGAGGGACAGCGTTCAGGCCCACGACCGGAACTAAAAAAAAAAAAAAACAACAACAACAAAAAACTAACCCAGATCTGGGCGCTGGAGGTTCACTCCTGTAACCTTAGCTATTCAGGAGGCTGAGATTTGAGGATTGTGGTTCAAAGCCAGCCTACACTGGAAAGGCCATGAGACTCCAGTGAACTACCAGAAAACCGGAAGTGGAGCTGTGCCTAGAGCGCTAAGTGGTAGAGCGCTAGTCTTGAACCAAAGGACTTAGGGACAGTGCCCAGACCCTGAGTTCAAGCCCCACAACCGACAAAAACAAAACAAAACAAAAAAAACCCCAACAACTCAAAGAACAAAAACAAAAAAACTAACCCAGAGCCTCTAATCCAACTTCCAGGAAGTACAAAGGGTAGAGGATGGTGTCAACAGCATGGGATGTCATTAGCAGAATTTAGACTTGTAAGGAACTCCAGGAAAAAAAAAAAAAAAAAAACACGAGTCTATTCTGTTTGTTTAAATACATTACGAGGAAGGTGGAGAAACGTTTACATTAAGAGACAAGATTTGAACCTTTGGCTACTTCTGGATTTAATTTAGATCCTTAGACAAAATGAAAAATTCTGACGTTTATATATGGAATTTGGATATATTGATGAAATTAAGGAATTATGAAGTTAGAATTTAGGATGCCTGTTGTGTGACACATGTCTGTAATCCTAACTTCCCAGGAGGCTGAGATCTGAGGATCACCATTCAAAACTACCTAGGTCAGCAAATCTGTGAGACTCTTATCTCCAATTACCCAGAAAAAAAATGCCAGAAACAGAGGAGATATGGCTCAAATGGTACAGGTCCAGCCTTGAGTGAAAAAGCCAAGCAAGAGCCCTGAATTCAAGCCCCAGTACAGGTGGGCACACAGTGCTAAGGCATAAATGCCTTCGAGATTCCAACTCCATAATTATTTTTTGAATCTAGAATTCAGTAATAGTAAGAACATTCACATGGTTGTGTAACCAATCTCTAGAATGCACTTCATCTTGCAAATTGGAAATCTGTTGATTCCATTTCCACTTTGACCCTTGGCAACTCTCAAGTTACTTTCTCCCTGACTGTGGTAGATAACTCATAAGTGGAATCATACATAGATAACTCATATAGTGGAATCATACAATATTTGTTTTGTCATGACAAGATTCTTTCATTTAGTATAATGCCCTCAAGACTCATTCATGTTGAAGTGTGTTAATTTTCCTTCTTTTTTAAAGCTCATGGAGAAAAACAGCATTATTTTTTTCTTTTCTGGTGCTGGATTTGGAATCCAGGGTCTTGAGCACACAAGGCAAGTAGTGTAGCACTGAACTACATCATCATCCTGGAACTGTTAATTTATAAGTTGGGAAAAATGGTATTTTTATGTGGGGATATGCTTTTTAAAAGAAATTCTTGGGCTGGGAAGGTGGCTCAGTGGTAGAACACTTGCCTTGCATGCATGAAGGCCTGGGTTCGATTCCTCAGCACCACATAAGCAAAAAGAAAAAAGCCGGAAGTGACGCTGTGGCTCAAGTGGTAGAGCGCTAGCCTTGAGCTGAAGAGCTGAGGGACAGCACCCAGGCCCAGAGTTCAGGCCCCATGACCAGACCCCCCCCCCCCAAAAAAAAAAAAAGAAATTCTTGCCAGGTGAGGTTGGCTCATGCCTGTAATCCCATCTACTTAGGAGGCTGAGACCTGAGGATCGCAGTTCAAAGCCTGACCAGGCAGGAAAGTCCATGAGACTCTTATCTCCAATTAACCACCAGAAAAACCAGAAGTGGCACTGTGACTCAAGTGTACAGTGCTTGCCTTGAAATGAGGAGCTCAGGGACAGCGCCAAGGCCCAGAATTCAAGCCCCACAACCGGCAAAAAGAAAAACATCTTTAATTTTAGAGGATCATATTGGGATGTTGACTAAAGACATGGAAACATGGCTGGAATTGGCTTCAAATTTGTACAGGATAAGGAGAAATAGGTGCACTTACATGCGTCAGGTAATAAGTACATTACCTTTTGTACAGTCTTGATTGTTCCTCATTTTCTCTCATTCCCTCCCTCCCATCTCCATCCATGAGTTATTTTTAACTTTTTATTTTGGTCAGTCATGGGGCTTGAACTCTGGGCCTGGGTGCTGTCCCTCAGCTCTTCAGCTCAAGGCTAGCACTCTACCACTGGAGCCACAGCACCACTTCTGGCTTTTTCTGCTTATGTGGTGCTGAGGAATCAAACCCAGGGTCTCGTGCATGCAAGACAAGCACCCTACCACTGAGCCACCTTCCCAGCCCTATTTTTTTTAGGGGGAGGGGGGTCGGTTGTGGGGCTTGAACTCTGGGCTTGGGTGCTGTCCCTCAGCTCTTCAGCTCAAGGCGATCACTCTACTGCTTGAGCTACAGTGCCACTTCCAGTTTTTGAGTGGTTTATTGGAGATAAGAGTCTCACGGACTTTCCTGCCCTTTCCTGCCCTGGCTGGTTGGCTTTGAACCCATATCCTCAGATCTCAGCCTCCTGAGTAGCTAGGATTACAGGCATGAGCCACTGGCGCCCGGCTCCAGCCCTATTTTTAACTTTTTAAAATAACTATCAAGGACTTCAAGGAACTTTTTGTAAGATCAAACTCCAGTCATCCATTCTGGAAAGATACTCAGGATTCCTCCCTGCCTCACTCCATTTTGATAAGTGTATGACAGTTCCAATAACCTGTGAGAATAAATGGGGGATTGATTCTAATTCTGATTTCCTGAGTGTCCAGTTTTTCAGAATGACATTTATTTATTTATTATTGGTGCTGGTCCTGGGCTTGAACACAGGGTCTAGGCACTGTCCCTGAGCTTTATTGCTCAAGAGTAGCTCTCTACTGCTTGAGTCAGCTCCACTTATAGCTTTTTGGTAGTTATTTAGAGATAATAGTTTCATGGACTTTTCTGCTTGGGCTGGTTTTGAACTGTAATCCTCAGATCTCAATCTCCTGACTAGCTAGGATTACAGTTGTGAGCCACTAGTGCTCAGCTACATTTTATTTTGTTTCAGGACTTTAACCTTATAAGCCCAACTCAAGTTTTTGTTCCCCCTCCAAAATTTTATTTTATTAATTTTAATTTTATTGTCAAGGTGATGTACAGAGGAGTTACAGTTACATAGGTAAGGTAGTGAGTACATTTCTTGTCTAACTTGTTATCCCTTCCCTCATTTTTCTCCCTCTTTCCCTCCCCCCCAAGCCCACTGCTATCAGCTTTATTTAATTTTGTTTCCAGTATTGGGGCTTGAACTCAGGGCCTTTGGTTGTCACTGGGCTTTCTTATTCATGGCTAGAGCTCTACTGTTTGAACCCTGCCTCCAGTCCAGCATTTTGCTGGTTAATTGGAGATGGAGTCTCACAGACTTTTCTACTTGGGCTGACTTCAAACTGAGAGCTTCAGGTTTTCAGCCTATTTAGCTAGAATTACAGTTGTGAGCCATAACATCCTGGCTCCCAAACAGCTTTCATGAGATATAATTCACATAGTTTATAATTCATTTGTTTAAAGTGTATAATTCAGTGATATATATTTTTCATTCATTAGAGTAATAAAATTTAAAACTGTTGTAAATGTATGTAAAATAAAGCATGACGAATGCTGGTGGCTTACAACTGTAATACTAGCTACTCAGGAGGCTGAGATCTGAGAATTGAGGCTAGCCCAGGCAGGAAAGGCTGTGAGACTCTTTTCTCCAATTAACCACCAAAAAACCATGAGTGGTGCTGTGGCTCAAAGTGGTAGATCACTAACCTTGAGCAAAAGGGGTCAGGGAAAGTGCCCAGGCACTGAGTTCAAGTCCCACGACCCACAAAAACAAACAAAAAAATCTTGTAATTTTAAGGCTATAATCCAGGGCATTAATGATACTCCAATCTGATTTTGGTCTGACTGTTGATTCAACTTTGAAAGTCAGGAGATGTCTTAGGACCAATGACTATCTAGATTTTATTAAGACAATGACAACCTGAAAGTGATTGGCCCTTTTCAGAGAAAGGTATTTGTTCCATGCTTGATTGGAAACAGCTTGTAATTTGAGTCAGAAGCCCAGGATGGGTTTAATTTCACTACCTAGAGGGTGAATTAGTTTGACCTTTCTTTCTTTCTTTCCTTCTTTCTTTCTTTCTTTCTTTCTTTCTTTCTTTCTTTCTTTCTTTCTTTCTTTCTTTCTTTCTTTCTTTCTTTCTTTCTTTCTTTCCTTCCTTCCTTCCTTCCTTCCTTCCTTCCTTCCTTCCTTCCTTCCTTCCTTCCTTCCTTCTTTCTTTCTTTCTTTCTTTCTCTCCCCTCCCCCTCTCTTTCTTTCTTTCTCTCTCTCTCTTTCTTTCTCTCTCTCCCTCCCTCCCCCCCTCTTTCCCTCTTTTTCTTTCTCTTTCTTTCTCTCTTTCTCTCTTTTTCTTTCTTGTCCTGGGGTTTGTACTCAGAGCCTGTGTGTTGACTTGGAGCTTTTTCGCTCAACGTTAGTGCTCTAGCACTTTGAG